AGACTGTGATGGATTCTGAGTTACTTGTACCTGCCTTTGTTTGATTCTTACTCATCATCTGCTGAAACAAGTAATACAAATACATAAAAACACAGTTAGCTCCCTAGATACAATCAGACTGCCATTGCCTAATCTCTTCCTTCACTTTGCCAGCTCAGTAAGGTCCTGAATGGACAAGAAGGTGTTCTTTAATTTGAGGAGGCCAAACTATGCGTGGTTGTTGCCAGACAACAAAATGTTCTTGGACAAGACAAAATCTCCACCTTGTATCCAAAAATTCATTATAGGCTGGGAATTCCACTTCCACACCCTGTGTGTATCGACATACTGAGATAAGTTGGATGATGGGAATATTATCGGCTGTGGCTCAGTTGGTAGAGTCATCGTCTCTCAACCGGAAGGTCGAGGGTTCGATCGCTGAGCAACATGTCCGATGTGTTCTTGGGCAAGATGCTTAACCCCGAATTCCTCCTGCTGCTAAGGCAGCAGTGTATGAATGGGTTTAGTTACTTCTGATGGATGACACTACATAGCAACGACTACCATCAGTGTGTGAATGTGTAGGTGTGACATACAGTGTATAAGTGCTTTGAGTAGTCGGAAGACTAGAAAAGCGCTATAAGTTCAAGTCCATTGACTGGATGCAAACTACCTTTGTTTTATGTGCATCTCTGTCTTGAAAAAATATTTCACATTGTCAGAGATCTCACTTATTGATCTTGTCAAGCATCATAATGATGGTCCTGTACCAACACTAAATGCAAAGAAAAAAGGTTTTATTCTACTTCTACTTTTACTCTCAGGCAATGTTAAACCAAATCCAGGCCCTGCACTGAATAATATTGCTACACCTGATGAATTCAGAGCCAGAACTGGCCTTGGTATCATTCATATCAATGTTCGGAGCCTTGTCCCAAAATTGGACGTAATTAAAATTTGGACACAGTCAACTGATACTGATATTCTTGTATTGTCTGAAACATGGCTTGGTAAGTCAGTCTCAGACAAAGATATTTTTATTAAAGGTTACAATGTCTTTCGTAGTGATCGGCCCAGAAAAGGTGGTGGCGTTGCTATTTATGTCAAAAAATAAGTTCCATGCTACCATCCTAACATCTGTGACCATCAGCAAGCAATTTGAACTTTTTGCCCTGAAACTTGAATTCTCTCAGGGCCAGTCTATCTCAGTTTTGGGTTGTTATAGACCTCCTTCAGCCTGTTTGGAAGCCTTGTCATCCTTATCCAGCTATGTTGCTGGACTAAATTCCAGTGAGCTACTTTTGGTTGGGGATCTAAATTGTGATTGGCTGTCCACAGCCACGGACAGCCTCATATCTGTTTGTGCCTCTCTAAACTTGTCTCAACTGATTGATAGTCCAACTTGTCCTAATATTAAACAACCCACAAGATCAACCCTACTGGACTTAATTTTGACAAATTCCCCTCATAAGTATACAGATATAGGGGTTTTTGCAAATGATCATTATGCCTTTGCAACAGTTCGAAATGCCAAACTTCCCAAAACCAAGCCTCGGCTTCTTCTTAAAAGAGATTTTAAACACTTTTACAAACAAGCTTTTATACATGATCTGGCTTGTTTTGATTGGACCACAGTTTTTCTCTTTGATAATGTAGAGCTAGCCTGGAAGTATTTTTATGACGGATTTCTGTTTTTAATAGACAAACATGCCCTGTATCGCATATTCAGGGTTAAAGGGTGAAACAACCCCTGGTTTTCAACAGAGATTGGAAATCTACTTAAAGATAGGGATGTTGCCTGGGCCAGGGCAAGGAAATCCAAAACCCCAGTGGATTGGCTCCTCTTTCGCCAGCTTCGTAATAAATGTACAACCCTAATTAAGAGGGAGAAATCAGAGTATTTAATCTCTGAAACCACAAAAAACCTTAATGACCCAAAGAAACTTTGGAAAGTCATAAAATTTTCTTCTGGCCATGTGTCACCCAGTGATGTGCCGGCCCACTTAGTCAAAGAGTCTTGCATCCTGACTGACAAATCAGCCATGCTAAATTGTTTTAATGAACATTTTATTTCAGCTGGCTTTTATTTGACTCATTGCACCCTGATTTGGTAAAATCCAACAAAAATCAGGATAATGCGTCACTGGCATCTGAGGTTGATAGTCAACTTACTGTTCATCCTTTTCAATTTATGCCAGTGTCTGCCACTGAGGTGCAGAGAGCATTACAGAAACTGGACTCCAGGAAATCAGCAGGTCCTGATAAACTTGAGCCGTTCTTCCTTAAGTTGGCCGCTGATTTTATTGCTGAGCCTCTTTCATATATTTTTAACCTCAGTCTGATCAGCAATGAAATCCCAAAGGTCTGGAAATCAGCATTTGTTCTTCCCCTGTTAAAAGGGGGTGAACCCTCACAAGTAAACAATTACAGACCAATTTCTAAACTTTGCATTTTGACTGAAGTATTTGAAAAAATCATTAGTGAACAACTGAAGGATTTTTTGGATGCCAATAATGTGTTATCTAAGTATCAGTCACTGACATTATTGAAAAAATTGATTGTAAGAAATTTTGTGAAGCTCTCTTTATTGATTTATCAAAGGCCTTTGATACAGTTGATCATGGATTATTGATCAAAATCCTCCATCAAGTTGGTTTATCAAAGCAAGCAGCCTCTTGGTTTGGCAACTATCTGTCAAACAGAACGCAATGCGTGCAAATGGCAGGATCCACCTCTTCCTTTTTAGAAATCTTCAAAGGGGTGCCCCAAGGTTCGATGCTAGGACCTATTTTATTTTCAATTTATATCAATAACGTGTGAAAATTTGTCAAATGTCATGTATCACTTTTATGCTGATGACACTATCATCTATTGTTGCTCAGCATCTGTTACACAAGCTTTTGAGTTTCTGCAGTCAGCTTTCAATGTTGTCCAGTCTCGTTTGAGGGAACTAAGGTTGGTCATAAACACTGATAAAACAAAGCTCATGTTGTTTTCTCATTTAAGTGGAGAAACAACAAGTGTCCCACTGATTTTAACTTTTCAAGGAAATGTAATCGAGCTTGTCAAAAGCTACAAGTACTTGGGATTTGTTCTTGAGTGTGATCTGTCTTTTCAATTCAATTCAATTCAATTTATTTTGTATAGCGTCAACTCATAACAAGTGTTGTCTCAGGACACTTTACAGAAAGCAGGTAAAATACCTTACTCTTTGTTAACATTACAAAAGAGCAGGTAAAAAGACCTTACTCATTGTTATGTTACAAAAAGCAGGTAAAAGCTTTTAAATCACATATTGCCAATTTGGCCTCTAAACTTGAAGTGAAGTTGGGATTTTATTACAGAAATAAATCCTGCTTTTCCCTCAGAGCAAGGAAACTTCTTGTTTCATCAACCTTTGTTCCTTTGTTGGATTATGGAGATGTACTGTATATGGGCGCCTCGGCCAAATGTTTACAGTCATTGGACACTGTGTATCACTGTGCGTTAAAGCTCTTCTTGGTTTGGTGCCTTCTTATTTATGTTCTATTACCTTCAAAGAACCAGAAGCCACTATGCCTTGCGTTCCTGTGATGTCTTTAAACTGTGCCTCGTGTCCGCACTGAGCTCGGGAAAAGAGCGTTTCGTTTTGCTGCTCCCACCGCATGGAACTTTCTCCAAAATGAATTGAAAATGGCGGATCTTATTTCGCTTGAAGCCTTTGGCTCAATCTTAAAAGATAAAATACGCGAGTCAATTGGAGAGTGCCTGTGTTTCTGAATTGTAATCCGTGATCAAGATTCTGCACTTTATTTGTAAATCAATTTGCACATTGTAAATCGTTGTTCTCTCTTAACTTGTTGTTTGTAAACTGTCTCTTTGTCATGTAATGCTTTTTATGACGTGTGCTGCTGCCTTATTGGCCAAGTCACCCTTGTGAAAGAGATCCTGATCTCAATGGGTTATTTATCTGGTTAAATAAAGGTTAAATAAAATAAAATAAAAATGTACCATTTACCATTATAAAGGTCAATAGATGAAGGGGATGTAGAGATGAGCATGAGGATGAGGTATGAATGGATGAGGGTAAGGGTCGAGGAATGAAGGTTGAGGTATGAATGGATAGGGGTAAGTGTTGGAAGATGTGGGTTGAGAGTAAGGGTCGAGGGATGTGGGATGAAGGGAGGGGGGTAAAGGTTGAGAGTTTGCAGGATGCTGACATGTGATGAAAACATTGTGCTGATGTTGTAGTCAGAGACCAAGATGTTCTCCAGAAAGGAATGCTCAGAGACCGAATCAAGACCGAGGCAGAGCGAGGCCGAGATAAGAACAAGACCATAAATATCTCTGAAAAATCATCATCTTGTGTGCAGCAGGCGTGTCACTCACTTAGACCATTTGCGGACATAACCTAGGGATAAAAATCAAGTTATGAATCAATTGAAGTTATTTATTATTTCTTCTAATTACAGTAATGACAGAGAAAAATAGCTTTACAGTGGTGTTCGTGACTGATCTTGATTTGTAATCCGGAGTCCTCCTGGTCTGAGACTGAGACAAAACCAAGCAAAAATGCTTTCGATTCCGAGCAAGACTGAGACCTCCAAAAACTGGTCTTAAGGCCGGTCTTGAGACAAAGGCCAATTTCGAGTACTAGAACACTTTGTTGTGCAGTCCTGCACAAAGAGGGACACCTGGTCACCCAAAGAAAACTAGTATCCATAATTACAAAGACCAAATACTTTTTGATATAAGACACTTTGAAATGTATCAACCAGATGGAACAAACTTTGTCTTTAGTGAGAGCAAAACACAAACAAGCTCAGCGTGTTAGTGAAGTGTCAGTTTTACACCTGCAGATACACCATGTCATCTTTCTACAGAAGCTAGTTTCCATTGTGCGGGATTTGACACTAACACATATGCATACAAGTTACTTTAAAAATAACAATAGGCTTGGGCGGTTGGCCTGGGTCTCATTTCTGATAGCTGTCGTTCTCATGTATTTAATTTAAGAACTTGGTCTCATTAAGCACAAAGTCCACACAGTGAGACACACACGTATCCTCTGTACAGTCTCAGTGTTCAGCTTCATCATGGCCGGACGTCTGCTGTTTGTCTTCTTCATGTGTAAGTAAAACCTTTATTGATTTATTCAGTATTATTGTGGACTATTATAAAGCTCTGCAGATTGAAACATGACGTTAATGTGTCATGTCAGATATCATCATATCAGTGATTAAGCTTTGAGTCGGTGATATTGTGTTTTGTGTGTTCTGCCAGTTGTGACAAATAAAATCTATTTTTGTCTCAGTTATTAATTCTCCATTTGATTAAAATAAATGAATAGTTGGAGGAGTTTGAATGTGTGAACTCTTGGAGTTATTATTATGTGTAGTCAACTTACTTTCACTGTGTTTTTTAAACAGATGTCTTTAATGGGATTCAAACAGAAGGTCAGTCTGTGATCTCTCATGGTTCATGTCTAACTGTGCTGTGATCGCTGCACTACTGAAGAATTTAAACATTTATATACAGCTTATGTTTGAGTTTGATAAACATATTCATGTTTATATTTTCAGCTCGTCTTCCACCTAAACTTACAGTGAATTCAGCGGTGATCAAAGAGACAGACTCAGTCACACTGAACTGTCAGACTCCATCATCTGTGTCTCAGTGTCATACTTCACTTTAAGTGGAGAAACTGTGAGACATTATCCTGTCTGCAGACACTGACAGGAAGTGAACTGCTGAGGATGGATCATCAGAGTTCATCTGCTGAGGTCAAAGTGAAATGTTTTTACACTGTTCAGAGTGGAGACAGAAATGCTCCATCTCCACACAGTGACACAGTCTCCATCAGCATACAAGTGAGTAATACAAGTGTTGTCAATATTCATATATTTTGTTACATCATCAGAAAGAACCCATCTGGTTCAAGCAGTCTGATTTAAAGAGTTGGAATATTGTCAAAAGGCATCCTCTATCAGTATACATTTGTCAAGTGATTTATTTGAATGAAAATGCTTTTGCAGATTTGAGATGTATTTGAGCTACATTTGCTTTGTGTGTTTTAATAATTATTTTGAGAGTGATTATATGAGATAATCTGTTGTCGTTTATAGTCCTAAAAACACTCAAACAAACATACTAATGGGAGCATTGGTGAGGAATGTATTATACTGTTTCAATAATGGTGAATATGTTTACATTTCTATTTTTCAAATATATTTGCTCATATTTTCAGCTCTTCCTCAACCTGACCTGATGGTGAATCCAGCGATGATCACAGAGACAGACTCAGTCACACTGAAGTGTCAGACTCCATCATCTGTGCCTCAGTGTCAGTACTTCACTTTAAGTGGAGGAACTGTGAGGACATTATCCTGTCTGCAGACACTGACAGGAAGTGAGCTGCTGAAGATGGATCATAAGAGTTCACCTGCTGAGGTCAAAGTGAAATGTTTTTACACTGTTCAGAGTGGAGACAGAAATGCTCGATCTCCAGAAAGTGAATATTCCTCCGTCTCTGTTCAAAGTAAGTAAATCTGTCTTCAAGCTGGATCAGCAGAAGAAAAACCCTGTGGTGTAAATGTCATGAACAAAACATTTGATTTTATTTTTAGGTGAGACAAACTCAAACAAGGAGAGTCTCAGCACTTTGAAAACCTCAGTTTCTATTGTAACTCCACCTGCTGATCAAGGTGAGTATAGCCTACTGCATATTTCAGTGTTGCTTACTCTTTTACCATCATTTACTAACTAGCACTGTCACATAAAACTACAGTCCCACATTTTCCTTAAACTTCAGACTCCTGTTAAAACGTAATTTTTTCAGACATTCAAGTCCAACAGACTCCTGATTTATCCTTTAAACAAGTCCCACACAGCGGGAGTTTGCCTGGACAAACTTAGTGGTATGATGGTCAAAGTCATACGTTGGTCAAAGACGATACCAAGATTTAATATTTGGTTGAAACGAGCCAATTAACTGATCAACTACAGTGGTAATGGTATCTGTTACAATAAAATCATATTTCAGTTTTGTCAGGATTAGGATTAAGAAAATTAAGATAAATCCACTTTTGGATAGTGACAAAGCAGTTATTAACAGTTATGAGAGGACAGTTGATTCCTTATTATTGGGTTTTATCTTCAAAGTTTTTTAGTCCCCTCCATCAGCAAAAAGCAGAAGAGGTTTATTTTCGGGTTTTGCTAAAATATCTTAATATTTATAGCATCGTTGGCATAATGGTGAAATCATAATGAAATTGTCTTTCCCAGAGGACACGAGTATAGAGATACAGAGTGATCGGCCTAAAGATGGATTTTGAGAAAAATCTGCATGGGTTAAACTTCAATAAGGCAGTCAAGTATTACTTTGAGGAGTTCACAATCCATCCTGGTGACGGGGGTTGGAGGAGATGACTATGCTATTAATCCCATAGAGGATAAAGCAAAGCTGCCCAGGACGCAGAGCTTCTGCAAAAAAGCAGTGGAGGGAAGCCATCTGTATGCAGCTAGCTATAGTCAAGGTTCAAGGTTCAAGTTTCAAGGTTCAAGGTTTCTTTATTTGTACCTTCATAGATTAATTTGTTGTGCAAGACAGGAGATTCAGCACTCCATTAGATACACACAACACATAACAAATTCAAGGTTAAAAAGACCAGACAGAATACATTAGAACAAACATTTTCAAAGAGCAAAGTCCTTACACAGACAACAAATCAAAAGTGTAAGATCGGACATGTAACTGCAGGAGCTGGGGATCGAACCTCCAACCTTCCGGTTGAGAGACGATGGACTCTATCAACTGAACACCAACCTGACAGATAGAGTGAAGAAGCCACTTGTCTTGGATAATAGAGCTTGCCTTAAACTGCAGCTGTTAAGAATACAATTCTGACAGGTTTGATTGAGACTCATCTTTAAATTTGCTCGCCCGTTTCAGGATTTAATTAAGAGTGTTTTTGTTTTTAAAAGTCAGAATTGATTGAGTGACCCTTTATACTAATTAATCAGAAAAAACATCTGAGAATAAAAATCTTTTTTTTAAGAGTGTCCTGGCCAAGACAGGCAGCAGCACAATTTTCAGAGTTTCTGACAAACAACGTGCTGCCTTAAATACTAATATAATACATAACTATTAAAAACCAAAATATACAAAATAACAAATTTAATCCTCAAATAGTTGTCAATATCGCCCACAAACATGCATATATCAGAAGGGAACATCTACAGCCAGATGTGTCCTCTTCCAAGTCATTTAACATCCTCTTAAAACATGACAGCAGCTAGTTAGGTTTCAGGTATTTTTGTAGTTTGAAGTTTTTTTATTTCATTATTTTGTCACATACATTCATATGCCTAGCCCGCATGGGCTTACGTGACACCATAAATTAAAACGTTCCAGGATCAGAGTGCATTAGGTAAACTATGTTCATTGGTAAGAAACAAAAAGAGAAAGCAAAAGCAAGTCAAACTAATTAAACAGAATATCCTGTCTTCTTTTCCAGGCTTTTGAAACAAAATGATTCAAACTTAAACAGCCATTCCAGTTTTTGCACATCTGTCCATTCCAGATGTAATTCCTTCCAAGTAACAGGGGCAGCAAACTTAAACAACTTTTTCCCCAGTTCAGTTCCCACTTTTGGAACAGACAGCGAGGAAAGTTTGTGAGAAGATTATGAGTTCCTCTTCTCATCTGACTGATGGAGGTCAGGAGGTATGACAGAAAATGAAGTGATGAAAGGAGTGATGAACCGCAGAACTCTGTGATACAGAGTCCAGAGTTACCTTTGAGAAACAGTGTGCATATGTTTCACATCACAATTGTTCAGCACAGGCAGAAAAGTGGCAGCAACCAGTCCCCTACAAGATTGATGCCTGACTTTCTCATCCCCACCGTGCCTCCGCCATTATCCTCTGTGTCACAGTCAAAATTGAACTGAGAAGCTGGGCTGAAACACTCTTAATGTTTCTGTTATGTCCCATGAACTGAGACATTAAGAGCAAGTCATGCAGTGTTACTAGATCAGAGCATTGAGACCAGACTAGCATGAGTCAGCAGTTTTAAGTTTGTCTGCACAGAGTTTAGTTTTATACAAGCCTGTAAGTCAAGTGACTACGGTGTTGTTTGTTAAGTATGTAAAATAAAAAGATCATTTCCTAAGTTTAAATGATTGCAGTGCTAATTAAGTTAGCCAGTTAATGACATTTTCCAGTATGTGTTAGCATCAACCTAAAAAACTAAGTTATGCATCCCGGCCCATCTTTAAGATTCATACTAACATATGTACAAATACTAATTAACTAATATCAAGGCTGCTAAGAAAAGTCACCTAACAATCTAGAAAGTAGGAATTGGTGAGCCCTAATCTGTCTCCTGCTACTGTAGGTATTGTGGAGAGAGAGTCAAGCAGGACCCAGAAAATGCCATCATTTGTCACAACTACTGTAGAACATTTTATTATTCAAGAAAACTTAAATTAACAACTTTGATTACCTGTAAAAAATTAAAGAGGTATTTTTATTGGCCAGGTCTGACTGTTCCCAGCTCTGTTGCTTCTACTCTGGTGACTCCTTTAAAACAAACTTATTTTGAAATGTACTTTCCTTATGGAACAGGTTGGACTATGGGCACAAGTATAAATGGTGGTTCCACTGTTACCTCCCAAACACCAGGGACACCAGAATCAGGTAACGTATTTTACAAAGTGGACAACTTAAATGTCTGTCAGATTGTACTTACATACTGGTTGCTTATTGGTTGGTCTAATGTGAGTGATTTATATACATGAACACCCATGTGGTGCTCTCTGGCATTTGTTAAGTCTTTAAAGCACAACTTCAACATATTTACCCACACACTCATATACTGATGACGTTGACATGCAAGTCTCGTCAAAATCAGACAAATTCACTCCTCTGAGGCTCTAAGACATTTGTTGTTCCATGTTTTGTTCAAGAAAAGTATAGACAGTACAGTCTTAATGTTATTTACGAGGCCTTAAAGAAACAGTTACAATATGAGCTCCATGCAGCATCTGGTGGAGAAAGAAGAGTAGACCATGTTTAGAAAATCAAAATGTTAAGATGAGATTTAATATAAATTCTCCTGACTGATGTTTCGAGCTTGGACCAAGTCAAAATGGTTTCAACTTTGGGTGAATCTAACATTTTCCCCCCAGATGGCTTTAAAAAACATCTGTGTATACAGAACATTAGAGAAGAGAAGAAATTCCCGCTCGCTCAAATGCCTCCAAAAGATTTAATTGAAACACAAGGTTTTTGACCATAGTTCTTCTTCAGGTGTTCACTTTGGTGTAAAGAATGTTAACATGTCTCTAATCCAGTCGTAGTACGGCTGGTTGTAGGTCTTGTTGTGGCTGTTTGTGCTAAACACCAGTGTTGTTGTTGTGGAGACGGCTGTGTTAGGGCGCACTCACACTCGGCAATCCGGTTAGTCCTGGAGCAGCGTGAGTGCAGGCCAGTGGAGGAATGGGGAGGGGGTGCTATCGTGCTTAAGCACGGTAAGGGACAACTTTGCCTAGTGTGAGCCTGCCCTTAGTCTCCAGTCGTTTAATGTAACCTGTGTAAGGTGACACTTTTTAACTGCCTCTTCTCTTAATGCAGAGAAGATCATGTGGGTGATCGCAGCAGCTGTGACGGGGGGTGTCCTCCTGCTGGGATTGGCCCTTCTCTTTGCTCAGAGCAGAATTGGTAAAATGACAAATCATTAATATCTCAAATTTAAAAAAAAATGGGAACTATTTACACCCATTTGTAGTTGAAGAAAATATTTCATATGAAACAACTTTTGATTCTCTTAAAGGAAGCTGGCGGTAGTTAACATGCGGTATTCCTGTTAAGAGGGTTTTGTGGAAGCTTGCTGATATCAATAACTACTTTTTTCTTTTTTTTTTTAGATAAATGTGATTCCAAAAGGTAAGAAAACTTATTTCACATATATATTTGGTCAACATGTAGAAGAAGAACTTCAGATACAAACATGTGAAAACAATAAGTTGGTCAACAAGTTGTAAAAAGATAAATCAAAGGCATTAGGAAAAGATTGGGTCGGTGGAGAAAGCTGAATCAGCAAATATTTAGGAAATAAAAGTGAGTCAGCAGAGTAATAGTGACAACTTTTTTAGTTTAGAACGCTATCCAATAATTAACCATGCTGAATCTGATAAAAAGTCATCGTACCTTGTTTATATTAGGTTTGGTTATATATAAACCTAATGTTTGTAAAAACATATTTATATTGATTGTGTTTTTTTTTCTTACTTATTATAATTTGTGTCATAAACTACTTTAATCTGTTCATCTTACTTCCCTTCCGTTCTCTTATCTACGCACACACACACACACACACACATACACACACACACACACACACACACACACACACACACACACACACATTAAAAGTACGCTAAAGATGCTCAAATAAGATGACCTGCATTTCAAATGTTTCACTTGATATTCTGTAATCACATCAGGTGATCTTCGTGTGTGGAGGCTTATTGATGATGATGTGTATCACAACAATCATCATAAACTATGAGTGCAGGACAGCAGCTGCAGTAAAATATTAAAAGAAGGAATCGGTGCATTTACAGCGGGGATGTACCAGCTGATTTCTCTCTCACTCTCTAGAGTTTCCTCTCTGTGTGAAACACTGTGATGATGAGACTTAATCATTTCTGATGACAATGTTTCCCTTTGTAAATCATTTTTGGGGATTTTTGCCGCAGGTTGAGAGCGTCACAGTGTTAGTGTTTGGGTCATATTGTTGCTCTGCACACTATAGGATCAAAACTGTTCATTATGTGATTGTTGTTGTCTCAAACATCTGTTATGATGTTGAAAACCTAAGTGTGGATCAGACTTAACACAATACATTGAGAAATGTGTTCTGTGCTGTTGCTTCCTCTTCAGTAAGGATATTTTTTAACCAAACCCAATCTATTATGTCTTTTTTTTCATTCAGAACAAAAGCAAACATTGCAGGTAAATCCAAAGGTATGTAGCTCACTCCTGTATTGAAGAGACCAAGCCAAATACAATAGAATATGTTGGTTTAACATTTAATTACATGTCTGTGTATACACTTCTCTGTATTAAAATGCTAATTGTCTTTGTTTTAGATGATCAGAAATATATGGTAAGTCTCACCAATGATTGTAAATGTCAAACCTGCTTCAACTGTAACATTTTCCAGCACACAGTAATTCCCACAACAACAAAAACATCATCAAGGTTCAGTCCCTGTACCCGTTTAATTAACAATTATATTACAGGTCACATATTATACTCCTTTTCAAAAAGTTAAAATAAATCTCAGAGCTCCCCAAACATATCTGTGAAGTTTCTTTGTGATGTCATGAAGAGAAAATCTCCAAACAGCCTGTTTGAGCACACATTGTCTGAAAGGTGGAGCAGGCTAAAGACAGAGAGGATGGACTTTTCTCATTATTTGTTGTCTTGTTTTGAGCTTCTGATACCCTTTCATTCAAACTATTGATCTGTTGTAAACATCATGAATCAATATAAAAACATTTTTTTAACCCCAGAGACATGCTGTTATGAAATCTGAGATAACTTTCATTTGGAAAAAAAAGAGATTATTTTCCTTTATTCATAACACAATAGATTTTGAAGCAGTTTATCCCTGTGTGACAGATTATTGGGATGAAATCTATGAAAGTTTAGTCAACTCACCTCTAAATCTTCCAGATGCAGTTTATTGTAAATTGAAAAATAGACTTGAGCTTGTATAGCATCCTTCTCGTCTTCTAACTTCTCAAAGCACTTTTACACCTACACATTCACACACTGATAACAGAGGCAGTAACTTATCCCATTCATGAACAGCTGGTGAAGCAGTGGGAGCAATTTGGGCTTAAGTGTCTTGCCAAGGACCCATCGAACATGTAGATGCAGGGGCTGGGGATTGAACCCCCAACCTTCTGGTTGAGAGATGACCAACTCTTGCACTGAGCCACTTCACAATAAGATTTATTGACAGAGATAGTGATGGGACAGTAATTGTTTTCTGATCATAATCTGGCCTGCTTCCTACGTCAAGGTGGGGAGGCTGCTGGTCCCCCTTCATTAATAGGACAGCTAAAGGCAGACTGTGATTGTTGGTAGGAGAGGGTGGGTGATACTGAGAGTCTGAATAAATGATGGTGATTTTGAAACTATGATGATGATCATTAAGATGATTTGGACATATTGTATGTTTATACTTTATTTTTTATTTTTAGGGTGGTTATGATGAAACGTACAGTATCGTCTTCTATGAATGCAACATTGGTGAGTTGAGAAACATCATATCTTGATAAGAAAAAACACAAAATGGTGGCAGGTATTCAGACCTCAATGAGGGCGACTAAGCAGTGTCTGCTTCTTATTTCTCTCAGAGTGAAAACTGCAGCACCTCAGAGATGAAGGCTACATCAGCTCAGAGAGATACAGAGTGTTCAAAGCTCTCTGACATTAGCTCAGAGGAAAATGTTGTTTCCTGTATCATTATCACATTTATTTCTCATGTACAGCTTCATTGCTTAAATGAATAACATCTTTATCAAAGTAGACATTAGCACGGTGAACTGGTCTACTGCATTGATAGAAACAAAGAAATCAAAAACTGAATAAAGTTAGAAGATAACATCTCCTGTATCACAATGTTTGAAATAATAAATATATCCTACATAACAACAAACTATGTTTCTGCTCTTCATGTTAACTTCAGCTTGATATTTGTTTTTAAAGTGTTAAAGACTAAACACAAAGGGATGGGAAAAAATGCAAACGCACTACAATACAATACAAAGAGGAGAACGAGGAAACCACCATAGAGACAGAAATCTATCACATATATATGTTCAAAGACCAAGCCAAGAAAAATCTGAATTTAGAATGAGTATTGTAATGAGCATGGCAGAGATAAATTTAATGAGTGAAGTTGGATGAAGGGATGATTATGAGGGTCGATAGATGAGGGGATGAATGTAAGGGTTGTTTTCAAAGCACTTATGATCCACCAATGTAGCATACTACTAAATAAAAAACTTTAGACGTTTTTTATTATTATTTATACATTTGAAGAAGTCACAGAAGTGTCCACTAGAGTGGACATCATGCTAAAATTACTATTATTTATTTTTTTATGAATGGAAAAAACAAATAGTTTTTGTTTCTTTATAAAACACATTTTCTGTTTGTCACATGCAAATGGTAAATGGACTTGGGCTTGTATAGTGCTTTTTTAGTCTTCTAACTACTCAAAGAGCTTTTACACTGCAGGTCACACCAACACATTCAAACACTGATGGAAGAGGCTGCTATGTTACGTGTCTATCAGAAGTAATCCCATTCATACACATTCATGTGCCAACAAATGAAGCAGTTGGGAGCAATTTGGGGTTAAGTGTCTTGCCCAGAGACACATCGGGCATGTGACTGCAGGAGCTGAGGATAGAAGCCCCGACCTTCCTGTTGAGAAACAACCAACTCTATTTCTGAGCAACAGCCATCCACTGTGTCCATATGTCCAATGGGCTGGATTTAGTCCTTTTGAGTTTCTTGAATTTGAATTTTGAAGGTTTTCTGTCTTTCATTTTTGAAGTTGTTTCTCCTATGAAAGGAAAAAACATGCTTGATTGGGTCAAAATGCCTCCACAGGTTTTTCCTGGTTGCTGCCAGAACAGCACAACAAGCAGACATTTAAGGGTTAATGGGAGAGCAAACATTGTGGGAGAACTGGGGTTTGAATTCAGACTTAAGCTCTTGCTGAATTAACACCTTCAATGAAACATACAGTATGTAATAACTCACAGAAAAAATAATGGATGTAAAAAATATAAATCTTTAAAGTCATAGTTTAAAAATATAAATCTATTAATTTACAAAAAAAGTTTGAATCCCCATCAAATATTGTGAAGATCAGCAAAGTCTCTCCAAACCTAAAATCAATATCTAGAATTTCAACAATAATATCGTTCTTTAGTTTTTACTTGATGTTGACATGACTTGTTGATGCTACATTATGCCTCTGATTGATTGATGATTTGATTGTACTGTATGATCAAGCGGCTGGCCTGCATTGTCCATGAGTAGACAAACTCATTGGCATGTCCTTATTTATAAGGCTATACTTAAAGGGACACTTCACCTGTTGAAACATGAATCTGTATTGACATTGGGTCATATATGTAGAAATGTGAAATACATTTTGAAGTTGGTGCCTTCTTGGCCGTGAAAAGGCAGAAAGTGTCTTTTTGGCTCATGTTGATGAAAGACACCAAATCCCAGAATGCACAGCACCGCAGGCCACTCCCACTAAGGTCCTCTAATTCAGAATCAGAAATACTTTATTAATCCCAGAGGGAAATTTGATCGTTACAGTTTCTCCTAAATATACAGTATAGCAGTAAAAATATAGTAATAAAAACATTTACAGAGATATTTACTTCAACACATAAGACCATTTCCTTAACTGATTCCGAGATTTCTTCCAGAATTTATCTTGGAAATTCCTGGCAGAAAACGGACTCTATGTCTGTGTCCATCGTCAAACAGTGAGAGCACCGACACTACCAGTTCACCCCAACTCGAGCCGGCCCCGGCTCATTTTTTCGCCATTATCAGCTTTCTCCATAGAGCCTGTTAGCACAGCTTCCAAGCAATATGGTGGACGTTAAGTTTAGATTCTGGGCGTGAGTTCCCACCCACTGATCTGTGATTGGTCTGTAGCTTCAGTGGTCGAAAATATGAGGAACTAGCATTGTAGTTTCACCCCGCTAACCACAACAGCTTCCAGTGCGTCACTGGAAGCTCCTTTTCAGACTTAGAAATACAAAGATTTCCCATCTCAGGGGAAAATGAGGGTGGGATGCACGACCATTCAAAAATACTACCAGGTTTCTAATGATACAAAGATTAATACAAATGGGTGAAGTATCCCTTTAACCTGCTTCCCTCATACTTGTGTAATTGTATTCATGCGAAAAGGACTGGAAGCTAGGGGCGCGGTCTCACTGGCCATCCGTACCGTGCCCAAGCACGCTTCAACGCTAAAGTCCAGTTCGTTTGACCAGTGTGGCCGTTCCATATCGTGCTCAGACACGGTTCACTTCCTTGTCTTTGGCACACTTCGGAGAGGTGTGCTTCGGCACGGTACACTTCATGCACGAGCTCAAGCACGTGGGTATGCTGACAGCCTTCATTATGGAGAGATCCAGAGTTTCATGTCTGTATCTGACTAAAATGACTCAATATAAGACACAAAGTAGCTGTCATGCTCTCTGTGTTGCTCTCCGATGTGCGGCCGCGGACTCGCCTGTGGACTCGGCCGCGTGTCTATTTTTATTTATTTATTGCTGTGTCTGATTAAAATGGCTTAAAATAAGCTGCAAAGTCACTAAAGTATCTGTTATGCGCTGTGTTTTTCTCTGATGTGCAGACGCGGACTCAACTGTGTATCTCTTTTTCTCTCTCTTTCTCTCTCCCTCTCCCTCTCTCTCTCTCTCTCGTCCGCCTGTTTGTAAACTGAGCACGCTTCATAATAACATAAAGCGAGCATGTGTTGTATTCCGACGTTATGTACAAGAGGTAATAGTGCTTAAGCCCGTATGGCCGCGGGCCGTGCCGGCCAGCGTGGGAATGGCGCAGCAGGTGGGCAATCATGCTTGGGTACAGCACGGTACAGATGACCAGTGTGACCTAGCCCGAGGTCTTTGCTCTACGAGCCAGTCACAAAACGTATTGTTATCTGTCCCCAAACTGTGTCTTGAAACGGGGAAAAGGAGTCTCAGGTACGCTGCTCCTGCTGGCTGGAATCTCCTTCAGGATGATCTTTGTCTTGGGGAGCTGGTCTCTCTTTTTATCATTTTTAAAGTGGATTGAAGGTGTTGGAGGAAAATGCGAGATGCTTTAAATAATGACTTTTCTTCTCTGTGACTCAGGACATGTTGATCTGTGTTTGTAAGTACTCTGTGTTTTATGTCTGTAACATGCTTGTTGTGCTGCTGCCCCTCTTGGTCAGGACACTCTTGTAAATTAGAGTCTTTAGCAGGAAACCGCTTTTTGAACAGCTGTTCACTGCAATGACCAGAATAAAATAAATGAAAACAAACTACAATATACTGAGACACAAATCTATCACAACTGTATATAAAATATTGTTCATACAATGACTAAAAACTTGAGATCACTCACTTTGAACAACCAGAAGAAACATAAAGCTCGAGGAGGCAAATGTGTGAATAAACTGTTTTAATGATGAAGAAAAAATGAAACAAACTTTGTCTTTAGTGAGAGCAGACTATGAACAAGCTCAGTGTGTTAGTGAAGTGTACTGTAGGCATATGTTTCACCTACATACACTATGTCGTCTTTCTACAGATGTTAGTTTCCAATGTGGGATATTCGATTTTTAAAAATGGTTCTTTAAATGTTAAGCTGTGGTTTGTCTGTCAGTGGGTTTCATTTCTGATAACTGTCGTTCTCATGTATCTAATTTAAGAACTTGGTCTCATTAACCACAAAGTCCACACAGTGAGACACACACGTATCCTCTGTACAGTCTCAGTGTTCAGCTTCATCATGGCCGGACGTCTGCTGTTTGTCTTCTTCATGTGTAAGTAAAACCTTTATTGATTTATTCAGTATTATTGTGGACTATTATAAAGCTCTGCAGATTGAAACATGACGTTAATGTGTCATGTCAGATATCATCATATCAGTGATTAAGCTTTGAGTCGGTGATATTGTGTTTTGTGTGTTCTGCCAGTTGTGACAAATAAAATCTATTTTTGTCTCAGTTATTAATTCTCCATTTGATTAAAATAAATGAATAGTTGGAGGAGTTTGAATGTGTGAACTCTTGGAGTTATTATTATGTGTAGTCAACTTACTTTCACTGTGTTTTTTAAACAGATGTCTTTAATGGGATTCAAACAGAAGGTCAGTCTGTGATCTCTCATGGTTCATGTCTAACTGTGCTGTGATCGCTGCACTACTGAAGAATTTAAACATTTATATACAGCTTATGTTTGAGTTTGATGAAACATATTATTGTTTATATTTTCAGCTCGTCTTCCACCTAAACTTACAGTGAATTCAGCGGTGATCAAAGAGACAGACTCAGTCACACTGAACTGTCAGACTCCATCATCTGTGTCTCAGTGTCAGTTACTTCACTTTAAGTGGAGAAACTGTGAGGACATTATCCTGTCTGCAGACACTGACAGGAAGTGAACTGCTGAGGATGGATCATAAGAGTTCACCTGCTGAGGTCAAAGTGAAATGTTTTTACACTGTTCAGAGTGGAGACATAAATGCTCCATCTCCACACAGTGACACAGTCTCCATCAGCATACACAGTGAGTAATACAAGTGTTGTCAATATTCATATATTTTGTTACATCATCAGAAAGAACATCTGGTTCAAGCAGTCTGATTTAAAGAGTTGGAATATTGTCAAAAGGCATCCTCTATCAGTATACATTTGTCAAGTGATTTATTTGAATGAAAATGCTTTTGCAGATTTGAGATGTATTTGAGCTACATTTGCTTTGTGTGTTTAATAATTATTTTGAGAGTGATTATATGAGATAATCTGTTGTCGTTTATAGTCCTAAAAACACTCAAACAAACATACTAATGGGAGCATTGGTGAGGAATGTATTATAC